TGTCTGTCTGTGTTGGCTGCGGCGCTGACGTTCTTATTCTCTTGACCTGTCCTATTTGAAGCTACTTCACCCTTTTTTTCTTCTGGATAGGATACCTCATTTAATAGATCCTCTGCGAGTGCCAGTAGATGCAACACCCTACCATCCTTTTCTGAATCTTTTAGGATATCTCTTATTACTCCATAGAAACTAAAAAATGTGTCGGGGATGTTTTCCCCATCTTTGAGCATCTTATTAATATCTTTTCCTACTTTATTCCAAGTCAGAGGGTGAATGCCCGGGCCGTTGATAACCAGCCAGGGACACTTCTCCTCCACAAAACAACAAAAAAATTTTTTTATCAAATCTTTGTTTTTTACTCTTATTCCCCTCTCCCTGAGACTATCCTGCATCTCTTTTATGAAGAGAGCTTCTTTAGTCAAAACTTTGCCCATGGCTTGTGGGACGACAAGTCTTACCTCAAGGTAGCCCGCGTCGCACGAGTGATGCTGTCCAAAATATGTTTGTCCGGCCGGACCTTTTCGTCTGTCGTCCGTTGGGTCGCCGTGCCTCAAGCCCCACGTTGGGCGCCACTTGACCCGTCCAGCAGGTCAGGTTATTCGAGGGTCTCGAGGAGGGAACCACCTGAAAGCCAATGGGGGCGAGAGAAGAAGGAGACCAGGCACATAAGGAAAGACAGAGTCAGTCTGAGTCGTGTCAAGGTCTTGTTTATTGGCAGTATGTTGCAGCTTATAAGCAGGATTTCAGGCAGGGAGGGGGAGCAGGGAAAGGAGAGTGGAAAATTTTTGAGAAGAAGTCAGGGTGGTCAAGGTGGGTGTTTCTTTGGTCCCAGGCTTTTGCAGCTGGCTGATTACAGTTTATGCCAAGTGGTTTATCTAAATGTACATTTTGCAGTTAGGCCAAGGACGCCCTGTTTTTGCAAGACTCCACGCAGCAGAAAACTCAAGACATAACAGTCCTGGGTCAAACAGTCCTGAGTCAGTCTCCAACATTCTTGTCACTTCCCTTCACTACAAGGAAAGTGTGAGGACTGAAGGTCTGAAAGTCATCATCAACCCTAAAGACAGAAGATGTGCTCATGAGAACTTAAGCTGGGAACAGTCACTCAGTCTGGACCCAGGAATCCTGTCAGTCAGCTTCTAACTCAGCAGTCTCAGATTGGTTTGGGGGGCAGAGAATCAGATAAAGCAGCACTGTCTTCACTATGAAACATGGGGAGGCTTCGATAATTGTACTTTGTTACTCTTCTCAGAGTCACCATCAATTCCGCCCAAGGTGGAACTTTGAAGACAAATCCTAGCCAAGTCCCAGATAATGCTCTTTTCTAACAATCACTTCCCTCCTCTGCAGCATGGAAGTCACTGAAAAGGGCATGTTTGGCTGAAAATTTAAGATATTAGCAAAGTCATGCATCTCCTGTAAAGTATTTGACTATTCAGGAGGTTTTCACTCTAGATATTCATGAGTAATGTTATTTACAATATGAGGGTCTAAGTGGAAATCAGTTTCTCTTAAGCTACAAGAGTTTTCACCTTTGGATCTGCAATGACCCTCAAGTTCATGTGACAAAATGTTGGCTCCCCAACATGCCATTTTGGGTGGTGGGAGGAATCTCAAAATTCAGGTCTAATGATAAGTCTTTAGGTCATCAATGGCACATCCATGAGGAGTGATGTAGGGCCCTAACACCCTCTCCCCTTATTCTATTTTGTTGTCTGGCTCTGAGCTAATATCATTTATTTTTTTTACTATACATTAGTCACCACAAACAGAAAACAACAATGCCATGGTAATATGTTTTGAACATGTCTGGATGAGAATCTGCAACATTAATTACTCAAATGGATTTTTATTCTTCACAATCCCATAAATACAGGTTAAGGTGTTTCTAGCTTCACTTTACTTCAAAGAAAAGAGTGAGAATTGGAAGTTTGAAATATTGACATGTTTAAGAATAATAACCTTGGATTATTCTATAATCATTCAAGCCACTTTGCACATTTAGTGGGAAGTGATCTATATAGTAAAATTAGTGTCAGTGGCTCCACCTCTTGGACATTAAGTCACAATAAGAAAACAGTGTTCAGTCAAAGCCTAATTTTCTCCAGTAAAACACAATCTCGAGGAACTTCCAGAAATGATGAGTGCCATATGTAGCGGGAATCTTAAAAGGTCTTATTAATTAAATCAAACCTGAGGCCAGTTATTGGGGTGAACACTGGAAGATCAGAGAGACAGAACAAGCCACAGCTAACCTCACCCGGCCAACTTCTCAGCTGATCTTGTTTCCTCAGACTGGAAGCCTCTGTGTCCTCATTTCCGAATGGCTCTCAGCTGAACTGTGCTGCTAGAAGCCTGAAAGCTTAACTAGCCAAATGCTTATCCAGTCAAATGCTTCTAGTTTCTGGTCCTCATGCCTTATATACCTTTTTGCTTTCTACCACCACTCCCTGGGATTAAAGGCTCGCTTTCTGGGAGTAAAGGCATGAGTCACCATGCTTGGTTGTATCCTTGAACACATGGATTTCTGCCTCTGGAATGCTAGGATTAAAGGTGTGTGCTACCACTGTCTATCCTAAGTATCTAGTGGATTTTCTGTTCTCTGACCCCAGATAAGTTTATTAGGCTACACAGTATTTTGGGGAACACAATACCACCACAGGCATCACTTGTCAGAAGCCCAGAGCAAAGACAGAAATACTGAAAAGAGTAATGAGAATGTCGCCTGTGCTGATGCTCTCTATTGGGACCAATCAGAGCCTGTTACTGTTCTTGCTGCACCTTCATCAGTCCTTTAACTCTGCAGAAGCTGCTGTAAAGACAAAACACATTTCATTCCAGGTTTAATTGTCAGCTCCTCCACCATAACAGTTTTTAAAGCATGTGATTTCTTTCTTCTGATCTTTTAGATCAAAAGTGCACCATTGAAGAACAAACTAAATGGAGAAAGCCCTGGAGAGACTGTAGCATTCCACAACTTTGGTTATGACATGGAAGACATCACTAGACAAATGTGTTCATTAAAACATCATTCTTTATAGGAAGAATGATAAATTCAAGAAGCAAACTGAGGTTACTTTTACATAATTGGATATGATTCCACCAGAAGTCAAGAATTTAATTATGTAGGAGGTGGTCCTCTCACATGTTCTGCATGTAACAAAGAGGACAGACAATTGTTTTCATATTACATAAGAGAAAACATCAGCTGAAAGTGATATTGGTGCTTAAAATTAAATCTAATACTCAAGTGCTAATGGAACTTCTTTTTGAAGAATCTGAATGCCTCATGAAAATCAGACACTGTGGCTTATCCTCACTCTGAGTGTCCAGCAGTCATAGGAACAACTAAGCTCACACAAAACACATAAACATACCTACAGAGTACACACAGCCATATATTCCAAACCTGGTTTGAGAAATCAATGAGGTAGTACATGTAATACAGAAAAGTTAATGGAACAGAGCCTTGAAGCTCTTAGTTCTTCATGTGAGAGGTTCCTAGAAGAGGCCACTCCATTTTAACAAAAAGGAAGAGATTGAACAAACTGTAAAATCATCAACTCTGTTTAGACCCATAGGAGAAAGGAGGTTATAGATCAAAAGCCACTCCCCAAGATGACAGACCCAGGCTGTTACAGAGAATCACAAGATAACGAGACATAATTCTCCCTTGGAAGTAGGGAAGAGAAGAAAAACCTGAAGTGTTTTAATGAATTGCTGGAGGCTAGGTGTGGGCAAGTCTAGGAGAGATTGTCTCCATGCATAGATTAGACTGGCCTAGAACTTGCTGTGTATCCGAGGCTGGCCCCAAACTCATGATGCTCCTGCTCCTGTCTGCCCAGTTCTGGAATTATAGATGTGACTCTTGACTCCTTGCCATGATATTTTATTTATTTATTTATTTATTTATTTATTTATTTATTTATTTATTTATTCTTCGGGTTTTTTTTGTACTTTATACATAATACTGGGTCTACAAATGTCTTCTTATATGTACTTTCAGTGACTACTAACCTGAAATCCAAGCAGGTTCTCTGATTTATGTTATTATTACTGATTTTTCATTCATACTCAAACATTTTTTTTCCTTTGGATGGCAATGATCTCTGATGGTGAGGTTTGTTGGTGTCTGTAAAATTGTTACTTGATTTAAGATGACTGTGCCCCCTTCTGGGAAGGTATTTTTTCCCTATTCACTGTGTCAGCAAGACCATCTTAACCCAGTTCTAATGCTGCTAATGTCTAGATTACTCTAGAATATGCATTTCTGGAATAAACAGTGTTGGTCTACAGCCATGACTTCTTGAAGAAATCTTGTATGTTTCATTCCCCTTCCATTCGCCCCAATTTAGAGGCATTTTTGTTTCCTGAGTTTCTGTAGGGTTTACCTTTGCTTTGAGATAAAAGTTCCTCTGATTTTGGGTTTAAATTAATGTCCTCAGGATTTCTACAAGCCATCAGGGCCTTCTCTTTGAATCTCTGTTCAATTATTGGCCCAGAAACTGGAGCACAAATAACTGAGGCACTGTTCATTATCTTTACTATAAGAATTGCTTTGGAGATGGGAGATAATGAAAATAATTAGTATTAATTCTCTCGTTTTTGGCTTTCCTCTTTTTTTCCTTCCATCCTTCCTTTCATTAATTGCACATTTTCTTTACTGTATGTTTCCTAATTTGTTGTTGTAATTTTTTGAACATATCATTTCCCTAGGACAGTCAATCTACAATAGCTTTCCTAATGTTTCTGCAAAAGTCACATGGTTTAAATATGTCTTGGATTTTAACCAAAGCATCTATTAGAGATCCTAGTAGATTTCTGTTGGAGAGCTGTAAGCCAACATCTTTCAGTGATTGCTCATGCTCTCTGTGATGGTACATTTGCCTGTTGATTGACAGCAGCCACTCTCACGCACACTGCCCAGGCATCTGCCTTTGTATTTGCTGACTGCTTTGCATGGGCCCCTTCAGCCTAGACCAGCTGCTCAGAATTTATAAACCAGGGCTTTTCAGTGAGAACAGGGCTGCATCAGACAAGCATGGGGAGCAGGATGGAGTCACGAACCCAGGTCCTCATGTCCCTCCTGCTCTGGGTGTCTGGTGAGAAATTTTAAAGTATTATAACCTTTTTAGAGTCACTTCTTTGTATATAAAAAATTTACAATGTGTGTCAGGCTATAATATTATTTATGCAATAATACTCTGAAAATATGGTGTTACAAGGACATTAAGTGAAAATTTTCATCTGTATTGAATTCTGTAGTTTTTTTTTTATTATGCATGATCTTTGATATTCCTGATTGTAGGTGCCTGTGCAGATATTGTGATGACCCAGTCTCCATCCTCCCTGGCTGTGTCAGTGGGAGAGAAGGTCACCATCAACTGCAAGTCCAGTCAGAGTCTCACTTTAGGTTCCTACAACTACTTGAACTGGTACCAGCAGAAACCAGGGCAGGCTCCTAAACTCCTGATCTACTTAGCATCCACTCGGCACACTGGGGTCCCTGATCGCTTCACAGGCAGTGGGTCTGGGACAGATTTCACTCTCACCATCAGCAGTGTTCAGGCTGAAGACCTGGCAGATTACTACTGTCAACAGCATTATAGCGATCCTCCCACAGTGCTTCATCCTCCAACAAAAACCTCCTCTGAGAATCTCAGCAGCTGCCTGCACCACACACAGCCCTGGACCTGCACACTTCCACTTCCCCCTTTTGGCTGAGAGTCAGTGAGCCTGAAACATTGACGAAAAAGTTTGCAAAGCCCAGCAAAATATAATGTGTCTAATGTCTTATGTCTTTTGGTATAAAAAACCTTTATATGACAATGCAAAGAAGAACTCAGCATTATCTTGCTATTTTTTCCTATAACCTATTATCCCAAACTCTGTTGCTTGACTATGAGGGATTTATCTTTTTATAGTTCTGGAGTTCTGGTAGCCATCGTAAGAGTCTATGGGCTGAAGTGATGATGATGACAAACTGCATTTCTGTTGGAGGCTGTGGAAAGAGTGTATCTTGCTTTTTCTAGATTCTGGAGTGCTTTCTTACTTCCATACTGGTGACCATTTTTTTTTGTTTTTTCTTTTCCTTTCCATAAATTCTTTTAACTTTTATTACACTTAGTTAATTAATTACCTCTGTGTGTATGTGTGTGCATGTTTCTAGGTGCACATGTGACATGCCATAGCTGTGGAAATCAGAGGACACTTGGACTTGTGTTGTTGGTTATTTTTTTTTTTACTCTTTTACTCTTTGGTTTTTTTGGGGGCCTGCCACCAGTTCCCAAATGAATACATGGAGGCCTATTCTTACTTATGAATGCTTTGTTTCTAACCAGCTTTTCTTAGCTTAAATTATCCTATCTTTTGCCTCTGGACTTTTATCTTTCTCTATTTCTGTATATCCTTTTTAATTTCTTTCTCCATGCCTTGCTGTGTAGCTGGGTGGCTGGCCCCTGGAGTCTTCCTCTCCCCCTCTTTCTTGTTTCTCGATCTTCTCCCAGATTTCTCCTCCTATTTATTCTCTCTGCATGCCAGCACCACTTATCCTTTCTCTTGTCTTACTATTTGCTATTCAGGTCTTTATTAGACCAACAAGGTGTTTTAGACAGGCAAAGTAACATAGGTTTACAGAGTCAAACAAATGCAACATAAAAGAATCCACCACATCTTTGTGTCGTTAAAGAAATACTCCACAGCATAAACAAATGTAACACATCTGTAATTAATATTCTGCAGCAGACTTTTCTCTTTGTCATTTGGGTTCTGGGGATCAAACTCAGGTTTGACATCAGGCTTGGTGGCAAGTGTCTTTGTCATCTGATCCATCTTGTTTTCCTTTAAAATATTTTATTGATGTAAATTCATTGGACACAATTTTCTTAAAAGCAATGTTTTTCCAGTATGTCATATATTTTGACCATATGCACGAACCTTCCCTATTTCTATCCTCTCCTGCTATCTTTTCTTCCCTAGTCTCTCTTCTACTTTTATCTGTGTCTCTCATACACACCCACACCCACCCATCCAACACATATATATATATACATAAACATATATGTACATATACATCATACACATACATACATAGATACATGCATATCCACATACATATACATATATTCATACATACATACATGAATTCATATATTCACACATGAACTCATATACACACACATACACATATGATCTTTATATACTTAAAATCTGCAAAGGCAGCAAAACGTGATCATTCTTACCCTTGTTTCTGGGGTCACATCTCCCTCTGAAGTCTCTGTATCGATTTCCAATTGTGGAAACTGAACAATCTCCCTCCACTCTAATGTTGGATATAATTCTGTGTCAGCAGATGCTACCTTCCAGTCTTTATATTTCATATCAATTAATAAAGCTTAATGTTTTTAAAGGAAAGTATTTTGTGTTCCTGTGTAAAAAATGTGGTAACTAATCACGTTCATATTCTGTTTAATATGTTATATGTTCATATACAAGGAGACATTAGCCTCTAAACAAATGATAACCAAGCTACAACCTGTAGACTCAAGAAAAGTAGGTAAAAATAGAGGTCTAGGGTGAGTTCATGGATCTCTCTGGTAGTGGGAAATAGAATGGATTTTATGGGCAGATGGGCATGTGGGGACAGGAGCAGTGGAATCAGTTGTGGCAGAGATGAGTTGAAGGGAGAGATAGTGGAGAGACATGGCTGGAATTGGGGTCCCCTTTGGGAGTGTTTGGAACCCTACTATAGTATAAACTTCCTGGAATCTATGGAGGTGAGCAGAATGAGGACTGTTGTATTGGGGGATATGTCCGTCACTTGTAGCCAAGTGAGGCTTCCAGTGGTGGGACTAGGTTGCATTCAATTGAGCTTTTGGCCAAGGGGTTCCCATGGAAATCCCACCCCGCCAGACCCAGGCTGTTGATAAAGCATGATTTTGCTCTCTGCAATCTCACAGAAGGGCCCCATTGCAGAGGCTCTGTAGCCGGAAGTTTCTCCGGTCTAGCTTAGCCCTGCAGTTGGAATGAATCTCTCCCACCCACATCCCACAGCTGCTTGGTCCCAAGCAAACATACAGAGACTTATATTATTTACAAACTGTATGACCTAAGGGTCAGGTGCTTGTTAGCTAGCTCTTATAACTTAACTCAACCCATTTCTATTAATATATATATATATATATATATATATATATATATATATATATATATTGCCATGTGTTCATGGAGTTACTTGTCTGCTGGTATCTTGTTGCTCCTTGAGTGGCAGGCCGGCATCTCCCTCAACTTCCCCCTTCTTTGTCTCATCTTCAGTTTGAATGTACCACGTAATCTTATCCTGACCTGCCATAGGCCAATACAGCTTCATTTATCAACCAATCAGAGCAACACACATTCATAGCAAACAGAAAGACATCCTACAGCACTTCCCCTTTTCTGTCTAATCAAAAAAAGAAGGTTTTAACTTTAATATAGTAAAATTACAAAGAACAAAACAGTTATCAAGAAAGAATTATGGTTACAATATTTCGTCTATTCTTATTTGGCAAAATTAAAGAAAATTTTATCATCTATCCTATATTTGTGAGTCTAAAGTTTCATATCTAATTTATCTTTTGTCATAACTAAGAAAAATTATAACTATCTAGTTTTCAAGTACATCAAATACCCCAGAAGGATAAAATATTACCTAAATAAACAGGAAGTGCATTGCAAACAACTTCCATAATTCTAGAAATTACAGAGACATTTGGCTGCCTGGACAGTCATTCATATTTTCTCTGTAATGTTGGGGCATCTATCTTTAGCCTATATGCCTAGAGTCTCTGGGATAGTTTTCAGTGAGTTTCAGGATATTTTAAGGGCTCTTCCACCCATTCTGGCAAAGTTCATCTGTCATTTCCCCCTGTGTCCTGTGGAATGTTTGGCAGTTTCTTTTGCAAAGCAGGAACCTGAAGGATTATCTCACCTTGCAAAGTTCAGTGGTCACCTTCCTATGGGTCCTGCATGTCCAGTTTATACAACATACTGTCAAGCAGTCCAGGAAAGAGCAGATTCTTGCCATAAAGAAAGCAAACTTCAAATGGAGTTTCTTTGATGCCCATCATCTTCTCTGAAGTAGATTGGTGCTACCAGGAACAGACATATCTCAATGTCCAGAAAAGTTGAAGTTCTTAAAACATTTTAAATATCATATTTGAAGTGTTGGAAGATTATATACATAATTGAAATATATCTATGTATACCTAGAAAACTTAATTAACATGACTGTAAGTTTGATTTTCATAGATGACTAATTATTAATCTGTATTTCTTAATTATAAATTACAATATTAAATGAATTGCATAAATATAACACCTTAAACAAGAGTAGAAATATATATACAGTGTAACAAAATTAACTTTAAATTTGTATCAATAAACTAAAATCCATAACAATGTAAAACATTTTAAACAAGTTTTTGCTCTTTAAAAGTAGATTCAATAATCTACCCTTTTATCCTATCATGTCTATATCCCCCTTTTTTTCTTTAGAAAGAGATTGCATTTATAATCAACCTCCTTTAAATAAAAATAAACATTTATAAACAATATTTTGGGAATTTGAGCATAGCTTCTCATACTAATTCCTGGTGTTTGGGGGCACTGGCAGTCTTTGGAGATTCTGAGAAAATTAAGAATTATAGTTAAATCTTGGCTGTAGTAGTCTGTCAGGCTGTATCAATCTTTCAGGGGGTCTTGGCTGATCAAATCATATTAGCCTGGAAATAATATATCTGTCCTCATCTCTGTGGAAACAAAAGCAGAACCTCTTTTCTAAAACAATGCATCCTTAGACATGAATTTTGAAGTCAAGATACCTATAACATACACATATGGTTTTAACTAAATAGCCCCTACAATCAAACGTCTTTCTGCAGTTAAAAATTCCAAACACAATATAATCCAGATTCTCTGTGTAGTTTCCATCTTTATGTGTCTTATTTTTATATTACTTTATTCTCCTTTTTAAGGACTTTGTTTTATTATTTTAAAAACATATATTTCTTTTTCATGATTGTCTATTCCTTCTGACCATTGTTGTAAACTGCAGTGTGGCTAGGACCAAAACAGCAGCCGCAGCTGTAGGCTTGGCTTTTCAACATGATGGAGTTACTTTTACCACTATCTCTGGGAAGCAGTATTAGGTAGTGTGGAGTTGTATTCTAGAGCCTTCCGCTGTGCTCTCAAGCCTGCAGGCAGCAGCAGTGGCTGGAAGAAGCCTTTCTGTACCACAGATTATGGGAGAGATAGTGAGAGCCCACCATGCTGATTAGCTCATGGGGGCTGGCAGCCAGCTCCATCTTGCAGGCAGCTGTTGGAAGACACACTCTGTGCTGCTGCTGGCATGACACTGCAAGACCAGGAAGCCCAGTGTGGCTCCTTTTCTGTGCATTAAGAATCCTCTTTAAGCTTTATTGGGTCTATGTGGATCAACACCTGATGGTGGGTGCCAATTCTCTGGTCCTGCATGCCCTGAACCTGATAGAAGAGAATGTGGAAAACAGCCTTGAATTCATTGATTCACTTCCTGCACCAGTAGTGTAGACACTGAGATTGACAATTAATATAGGACCTCTTGAAACTGAAAAGCTTCTGTAAGGCAAAGGAAATGGACAATAAGACAAAATGGCAGCCTACAGAATGGGAAAAGACATTCACCAACCCCACATCTGACAGAAAGCTAATCTCCAAACTACATAAAGAACTCAAGAAACAGACATCAAAATACCAAATAATCCAATTAACAAATGGGGTACAGTTCTAAAAAGAGAATTCTTAACAGAGAAATCTCAAATGGATCAAAGATATTTAAAGAATTGCTCAACATCCTTACTTATCAGGGAAATACAAATCAAAATGACTCTGAGATACTACCTTACACCTATCAGAATGGCTAAGATCAAAATAAGATAAAAAAAAACTGATGACAGCTTATGTCGGAGAGGGTGTTCAGCAAGGGGAACGCTCCTCCACTGCTTGTGGGAGTGGAAATTGACAGTCACTTTGGAAATCAGTATGACTGTTTCTCAGAAAATTGAAAATCAATCTACCTCAAGCCCACCTATGCCAGTCTTAGGCATATACCCAAAGGATGCTCAATCATACCACAAGGACACTTGCTGAACTGTGTTCATAGCAGCATTATTCAAAATAGTCAGAACCTGGAAACAACCTAGATTCCCCTCAACTGAAGAATGGATAAAAAAAAGTGGTACATTTACACAATGGAGTATTATTCAGAGGTAAAAGACAATGATGTCATGAAGATTTCAGGAAAATGGATGGAACTAGAAAAAAATCATCCTTAGTGAGGTAACTGAGACCCAGAAAGATAAACACCATATAAACTCATTCCTAAGTGGACATTAGATATAAAGCAAAGGATAACCAGGCTACAATCCATAGCCCCAGAGAGGCTAGGACACAAAGGAGGACACAAAGAGGGATGCATGGATTTCCCTGGGATGGAGAAATAGATGAGTTCTTCTGGGAAAACTGGGGCAAGGGAGTGGGTAGAGGGGAGGGGATGGGGAATGGGAACATGAGGAATTGGGATGGTCGAGTTGCGGGGGGGGGGCAGATGGGGAGAGTAGTGAAAGAGATATCTTGATAGAGAAGGCCATTATGCGGTTAGGGAGAAACCTGGTGCCATGGAAACTCCCAGGAATCCACAAGGATGACTTCAGCTAAGACTCCTAGCAATAATGGAGAGGGTGCCTGAAGTGGCCTTTCCTGGAATCAGATTGGAGACTACCCTGTCATTGTAGAACCTCATCCAGGAACCGATGGAAGCAGATGCAGAAATCCACAGCTGAGCACTGAGCCAAGCTCAGGGAGTCTAGTTGAACAGAGGGAGGAGGTATTATATGAAGAAGGGTGTTCAAGATCATGATAGGGAAAACCACAGAGACATCTGACCTGAGGTCATGGGAGCCCATGGACTCAAGACCCACAGCTAGGGTCCTTTCTGAGGAGTGGATGAGGGGGTAGAAAGGAGTTGGGAGATGGAAAAGATGAGAGTAGGGAGGGGAAACTCTGGTTGGTATGTAAAATAAATAAAAAATTCAATAAAAAAGAGTTGCTTGTGAGATGGGAGATAATGAAAATAAGTAGCATTATTTCTCTCATTTTTTGCTTTCCTCTTCTCTTCATTCCATCCTTCCTTTCTTTTATTGTGCATTTTCTTACTGTATGTTTCCTAGTTTGTTGTTGTATCATTTCCCTAGGACAGTCAATCTACAATAGCTTTCCTAATGTTTCTGCAAAAGTCACCTGGTTTAAATATGTCTTGGATTTTAACCAAAGCATCTATTAGAGATCCTAATAGATTTCTGTTGGAGAGCTGTAAGTCAACATCTTTCAGTGATTGCTCATGCTCTCTGTGATGGTACATTTGCCTGTTGATTGACAGCAGCCACTCTCACGCACACTGCCCAGGCATCCGCCTTTGTATTTGCTGACTGCTTTGCATGGGCCCCTCCAGCCTAGACCAGCTGCTCAGAATTTATAAACCAGGGCTTTTCAGTGAGAACAGAGCTGCATCAGACAAGCAGGGGGAGCAGGATGGAGTCACGAACCCAGGTCCTCATGTCCCTCCTGCTCTGGGTGTCTGGTGAGAAATTTAAAAGTATTATAATCTTTTCACAGTCACTTCATTGTATATAAGAAATTTACAATGTTGCCAGGGTGTAGTATTTTTAAGCAATAATACTCTGACAATATGGCATTACAAGGACATTAAATGACAAATTTCATCTGTATTGAATACTGTGGGGATTTTTTATTATGCATGATCACTTGTTTTCCTGATTGAAGGTACCTGTGCAGATATCATGATGACCCAGTCTCCATCCTCCCTGGCTGTGACAGCAGGAGAGAAGGTCACCATCAGCTGCAAGTCCAGTCAGAGTCTTTATTCAAGTACCACCAAGAAGAACTACTTGGCCTGGTACCAGCAGAAACCGGGGCAGTCTCCTAATCTTCTTATATACTGGGCATCCACTCAGGAAACTGGGGTCCCTGATCGCTTCACAGGCAGTGGGTCTGGGACAGATTTCACTCTCACCATCAGCAGTGTCCAGGCTGAAGACCTGGCAGATTATTACTGTATGCAGGCTCATACTGCTCCTCCCACAGTGCTTCAGCCTCCAACAAAAACCTCCTCTGGGAGTCTCACCACCTGCCTACAGAACACACAGCCCTGGACTTGCACACTTCCCCCTTTTGGCTGAGAGCCAGTGTGCCTGAAATAGTTATGAAAACATTTGCAGAGCCCAGAAAAATATGATGAGTTCAATATCTCTTATGTCTTTTGGTATGAAAAACTTGTATATGATAATACAAAGAAGAACTCAGTATTATCTATTTGTTATGTAACACATTAGCACGAACTCTGTTGCTTGACTATGAGGGATTTATCTTTTTATAGTCCTGGTGTCCATCATAAGAGTCTAGGGGCTGAAGTGACGATTATGACAAATTGTATTTCTGTTGCCGGCTTTGGCAAGAGTGTTTCCTGCTCTTTCTAGATTCTGGAGGGCTTTCTGTCCTCTTTACTGGTGTCCATTTCTTCTGTCTTTTCTTTTCCTTTCCATAAATTCTTTTAACTTTTATTACACTTAGTTAATTAATTACTTTCATCTGTATATGAGTGTGCATGTTTCTAGTTACACATGTAACATGTCATGTTTCTAAAGGTCAGAAAACACTTGACTTGATTGTCTCTTTGATATTTGGGTTCTGAGGATCAAGCTCAGGTTTGTCATCAGGCTTAGTAGCAAGTGCTTTTGGCATATGAGCGATCTTGCTGGCCCTTAAAATCTCTTATTGATGTAAATTCATTGTACACAGTTCTCTTTTGTTTAGGTTCTTGGTTTTATTATTTCAAATGCACTTTGAAAGTCTTGCATTTATAATATACATCCACATGTTTTTTCTTTTTTTAATTTAAAAATATTTAACATTCTTTTAGTTAAGATTTTTTATTCATTTTCATACCAACCACAGATCCTTCTCTCTTCCCTTGTCCCTCCCCTCAGCATTCCCCCAGCCCACCCCATTCCTTCCTCAGATAAGGCAAGGTCTCCTATGGGGAGTCAGCAGAACCTGGTACATTCAGTAGAGGCAGGTCCAAACCCCTCAACCTGCCTCAAGGCTGTTTGAGGTATCTCCCCATAGGGGTCCCCTTAAGCAGATCAAGCTACACAACTGTCTTGTTTACTCAGAGGGCCTTGTCCAGTCCTGTAGATGATATGATGGTATATATAAGTGACCCCAAAAATTCTACCAGGGAACTCCTACAACTGATAAACACCTTCAATAATGGAGCCAGATACAAGATTAACTCAAGAAATAGATTTTCTTAAGCATGAAAATGCTAAGTTAGATCACAAGAAGAATGGCAAGGAGGATCAGAACCTGTAGTCCATAGAATTCCAGGTAGAGCAGGCACATGATAAAGCACAGCTGGAAAGACTCGACTAACAACTGGGAGAAAAGGGAGAGAGATACAAGACGTGTTGAAAACTGTGGAGAGGCTTCAGAAGGAGAGAATGATGGTGTCCAGGCATAGCCCCAGGGTCAGAGAGGAACCTTCTGCCAAAAGGCTGAAGGAAGAAGTTTGGCACCCAAATAGAGGAAATGCAAACTCTTTCCCTGGAACCCTACATGCCAAACTGTACCACTGACATGCCTTTACTGATTCCCATATTTCAGAGGCTTTATGAAAAAACTACAGATTGAGAAATGAGCTACACAGTTTGAATTCGGAGAGAAATATGCTGAGGATGGAATCTGAATACAATACAATACAGCAATTTGAACACTCCATGAAAAGGGTCAAGGATGCTGCTTCTGTACACATTGAGCCCCTCAAAGCCTCTCATTAGAGAGAAACAGAGAAACTCCTTTGCAAAAATGGATTAGAAAATTCCTCTTCCAAAATAGACAAACTGCATCACAAAATCACAACTCAAGAGGTGCTTATAAAACATTTACAAGGTCAAGTTAATGATCTGTAGGGTAAACAAGAATTCTTGCCTTTCTCGAGTTGAAGAAGAAATCCTACAGGACAGATTACAAAACTCTTGGGAGAATTCAATGAAGATAATGGAAATCATACACCAGAGGTGAAACCTTTTATGGGCTTAGAAAGGATGATGGGGCAGATGGAGATGGAGCATAAGCAGGGAGAGCAGGAACTCCAGCAGATAATATAGCAAACACACCAAGTAGTAGAAACTGAGCACAACAAAGGAGTTGAGAAATGGAAGAGACTTGCACAGCTAAAGAATCAGGAGCTGGATGAGTTCTGCACAAAATTAGTCTCCATACTAGAGGTTCTGTGGAAGGTGAACTAGATGTGCCAGTCGCTGCTGCAGAGGAAGTAAACACAGCAAGAGTTTTAGTTGGACCTCTGAACGGTGTGACCTCATTGGAAAACAGATGAAAATGTGCCACTTTTGGGACAGTGTTTGAAAAACATGGATCCACTACAAAACCATATGTGGACATCAGCAGAGTAACATGTCAGAATTAAGTGCCCTCAGCAAATAGGAAAAAGAACATACATGATAGTATATTTTACCACAAGCCATTAACTAATCACATTAGAGATGACATTATGAGCAGGTTCTATTGGTGACTAGTGTTGCCCGGCCCCTTGATAGTCCCTTTCCAGGGTCCGGGAAGAATATACAAACAGCTGATAATTTAATCTTTGATGAAAAGAAATGAATCCATGTACACAGAACTCCTTAGTCCATACACTTTATTATTCTGTGTCAGTTCTCTCTCTACACAGCTTCTCTTCTGTTCTCATGCCTAGTTCCTTTCTTGCTGATTTGTCTCTACCTTTATCTGTTGTCCCCTCTATGTTTTATCTTAATTCTCTCATCTTAGTTCTGCCCCATCTAGGTTCTCATCCATCTAGTTTCTTCCCATTTTAGCTCCTCTCCATCTCCTTCTTTCTCATCTTGTTCTTCCCCATCTCGCTCTTCCTCATCTTCCATCTTGTTCCTCTAGTATTCTCTTTTAGCCCTTCAATCTAGTTCTTCCTAGCTAGACTCTTCCTCTCCAGTCTTAACCATCTAGTTCTTCTGTTCTTTTTTCCTTTCTCTCTCCTCCTCTCTGTCTCCTTATTCTCTCAGTTCTCTCTAACTCTCTAAGGAATCCAGTTATAAACCCAAGCAATAGCAATCCTCTGGCAGACCAAGGTCACCAGGCTTGAATTCTTAAGGCATCATAAAGGCAGGTAAGAATTTTCCTTAAGTAGTGACAACCCAAAAGGGGAGTGGTAAAGGAGGAGGTCAATGGAGAGCTAATGATCAGTTAGTATATCAAGAAGGGGATCTATGTGCTCAGTCTACATTCCTAGAAGCGGCTAGGTAAGAAATTAGGAGTCTATTAGTAAGGCTGTAAGGAAGGAGGGTCTCACCCTAAATTGCACAAGAAATAAAGCTATCCTCCTGACCTAGGAGACAGATGTTTCATTTTGGCTTGGATGCTTGATGGATATTTTAGATAAACACACTGTTAGGAGTTCTTGGAAGCATGTACTGCATTACAATAAAATCACTGTATGAACCAGCTAATATATGTATACAAAAGCTAAAATATCACCAAGACTTCTTAAGCCATTAAGAAGCTTTTGTGATAGTAACTGAATTCCATTACATTTCCTGCAGCTTGCAGCAGGTTCCATAATGTCAGAAGACCACGATTAGCAAGCTTTACTGCAAAAGGGCTTTCTGCTAGGCCACAGTGGAAGAAGAGAATTGGTCATCCTCAGCCATGTTTCATAGATTTAATGTGTGATTTTCATTCTCTGTATGCCAGAAAATCATCTCTTTCTCTTGAAATGGGTAGAGGAAAGTGAACTTCATGGTGTGAACAATCTCATTGACTGACAGCTGAGCTATAGAGCTTCCTCAGTATTTAGATGACTGTTGTAATTTCTGTACAGGGAATAGCAAGCTCTCTTGGGTTTTTGGACTTGATATAAAGTGACAACTAATGCTGTGGGATGTTCTGTATGGCAAATGTGTTGCTGATTGGTCAATAAATAAAACACTGATTGGCCATTGGCTAGGCAGGAAGTATAGGCGGGACTAGGAGGAGAATAAAGCTGGGAAGTGAAAGGCTGAGTCAGAGAGACACTGCCAGCCGCCATGATGAGAAACAGCATGTGAAGATGCCGGTAAGCCACGAGCCATGTGGCAAGGTATAGATTAATGGAAATGGATTAATTTAAGCTGTAAGAACAGTTAGCAAGTTAGCCTGCCACGGCCATACAGTTTGTAACCAATATAAGTCTCTGTGTTTACTTGGTCAGGTTTGAGCGGCTGTGGGACTGGCAGGTGAGAGAGATTTGTCCTGACTGTGGGCCAGGCAGGAAAACTCTAGCTACAAACTAATGGTGTAGGTTAATGTATCCCTTAATGTAGGCCAGGTCTAGTAAATGACAGTCCTAATTTTTGGCAGCTCTAAAGCTATAAACAACATAACTTTTTTTGTTGAAAAAGGGATATTATATTGAATAGAAAAACAAAAACATTCATAAAACAGCTAGATTATTTTGCAATCCCATTTTTAAAAGTACTTCACAAATGTATGAGATAGAGGTAAATCAAACTGTTTGTTTTCAAGTGTCTCTCACAGACTGTCTTTCAGCCCCTTTCTGGAGAGGGAGCTGTTCATGGAGACATACTTGGTATCTGCACTGGGCGCTCCTGGTCAATCATTTGGAAGAGGCAGATGGCATGATAAAAGCTGCATAGTAAATTTTAATTTTTAGATACTTTAAAATGTAAAAAGACACTGTGTGCAAGTTTTTAGAATATATTTTATATTAATAGTACATTTTGATTTGGAATATATTCCAAATGCACAAACCAGTAAAAGTAATTCAAAGGTAAAATTTGCGAAGCAGAACTTTTCATAAAGGAAAGGGGAGTGAGTCTTAGTGTACTTGTGAGCAAATGTTGTGAAGTACTGCACCTGTTATACACAAGAAGTGTAATTATTGTCTTAATGCCAACATTATGTAATATATATTTTTTCTGAGATGGGAGTAAAAAAGCATTATTATTTTCATTTTTCCTATACAACATTTCAAAGTTATAATATAAATAATTTATTTTATAAAAGAATGAAGTACAGGACTTATAGATGCTTTGCAGCATTCTGCCAGACCTTTAATGAAGAGCTGACATTAAAATTCCTGAAACTGTTCCATGCCGTAGAAAAGGAAGGAACACAACCAGATTCATCGTATGTACCAGGGCAGTGTGGAAACTGGATTTATGGGAAAAGCAGTAACTAAGGACTGTCAGGCTTTTCCTATTATACAAAAAAGAACACAGGAATTTTGTCCTTTTAGTCTCCATGCTCCCCACTCACACACTGTGAGAAGCACATGATTAACTGCAGGAGATTTGGATTTTTAAGACCCCAGTCTCCATGTGTCCAACCTGAGTGAGCTGCAGTAAATGACATAAAGCACAATCTGAGCTCATTGCAGCTGTCAAAAAGCAAAGTACAGAGTTTAGCAAAGATCGAGAGCACATGACAACTTGTTGGACATTGACTGTGGCAGTTACTCATCTGTCATATTCTTGACCTTGAGATTTGGGAACTTCCTTAATCTACATACTGTTTGTCTGTTTCTTTCTTTCTTTTAAATTTTATTTTATTTTATTTTACAATACAATTCAGTTCTACATATCAGCCACGGATTCATTTGTTCTCCCCACTCCCGCCCCCTCCCCTTCCCCGCAGCCTACGCCCTATTCCCACCTCCTCCAGGGCAAAGCCTCCCCTGAGGACTGAGATCAACCTGGTAGACTCAGTCCAGGCAGGTCCAATCCCCTCCTCCCAGGCCGAGACAAGCAACCCTGTATAAGCCCCAGGTTTCAAACAGCCAACTCATGCAATGAGCACAGGACCGGGTCCCACTGCGTGGTTGCCTCCCAAACAGATCAAGCCAATCGACTATCTCACCCATTGAGAGGGCCTGATCCCGTTGGGGGCCCCTCAGGCATTGGTTCATAGTTCATGTGTTTCCATTTGTTTGGCTATTTGTCCCTGTGCTTTATCCAACCTTGATCTCAACAATTCTCGCTCATATAAACCCTCCTCTTTCTTGCTAATTGGACTCCCGGAGCTCCACCCGGGGCCTAGCCGTGGATCTCTGCATTCAGATCCCTCAGTCATTGGATGGGGTTTCTAGCACGACAATTAGGGTGTTTGGCCATCCCATCACCAGAGTAGGTCAGTTCGGGCTGTCTCTCGACCATTGCCAGCAGTCTATTGTAGGGGTATCTTTGTGGATTTCTGTGGGCCTCTCTAGCACTTTGCTTCTTCCTATTCTCATGTGGTCTTCATTTACCATGGTCTCCTATTCCTTGTTCTCCCTCTCTGTTGTTGATCCAGCTGGGATCTCCCGCTCCCCCAAGCTCTCTTTCCCTCGACCCTCGCCCTTCATCACCCCCACTCATGTCCAGATTGTTCATGTAGATCTCATCCATTTCTCCGTCATTGGGTGATCACCGTGTCTTTCTTGGGGTTCTGTTTTCCAGGTAGCCTCCCTGGTGATGTGAGTAGCAGTCCAGTCATCCTTGTTCCACATCTAGTATCCTGCTATGAGTGAGTACATACCATGTTTGTCTTTCTGAGTCTGGGTTACCTCACTTGATGATTTTTTCTAGACCCATCCATTTGCCTGCAAACCTCATGATGTCATTGTTTTTCTCTGCTGAGTAGTATTCCATCGTGTATATGGACCACATTTTATTTATCCATTCTTCAGTTGAAGGGCATCTAGGTTGTTTCCAGGTTCTGGCTATTACAAACAATGCTGATATGAACCTAACCAAACAAGGATACAATAAAGAAAGAGAACTACAGACCAATCTCCCTTATGAACATTGATGCAAAACTACTCAATAAAATACTGGCAAACAGACTCCAAGAACACATCAAAACAATTATCCACCATGATCAAGTAGGCTTCATCCCAGGGATGCAAGGGTGGTTCAACATACTAAATGTCCGTCAATGTAATACACCATATAAACAAACTCAAAGAAAAAAACCACATGATCATCTCACTAGATGCAGAAAAGGCATTTGACAAAATCCAACACCCCTTCATGATAAAGGTATTGGAGCGATCAGGAATACAGGCAACATACCTAAACATAATAAAGGCAATTTACAGCAAGCCAACAGCCAACATCAAATTGAATGGAGAGAAACTCAAAGCAATTCCACTAAAATCAGGAACGAGGCAAGGCTGTCTGCTCTCCCCATACTTATTCAATATCGTACTTGAAGTTCTAGCCAGAGCAATAAGACAACATAAGGAGATTAAGGGGATACAAATTGGAAAGGAAGAAGTCAAGCTTTCCCTATTTGCAGATGACATGATAGTATACTTGAGTGACCCCAAAGATTCAACCAAGGAACTGCTACAGCTTTTAAACACCTGCAGCAACATAGCAGGATACAAGATCAACTCAAAAAAATCAGTAGCCCTCCTATATACAATTGTCTGTTTCTTTTTTTTTTTTTGGTTTTTTGAGACAGGGTTTCTCTGTGTAGCTTTGCGCCTTTCCTGGGACTCACTTGGTAGCCCACGCTGGCCTTGAACTCACAGAGATCTGCCTGGCTCTGCCTCCCGAGTGCTGGGATTAAAGGCGTGCACCACCACAGCCCGGCCAATTGTCTGTTTCTTAAGATGGTGTGATTAAGAGTTTACAGAGGAGATCTCAAAATGCTCATCAGAAATAATTAACATTTTGTACATGAAAGGTAAGTGTATATAATTAATGCAAAATAAAAGGTAAGTGCAAGTTACTTAAATGCTTGTCTTAGAGGAAGGAGGAGAGGGGAATCTGTGGTTGATATGTAAAATAAATAGAAAATCTCTTAATAAAAATATTCTTGTCTTAATACTTAAATGTTAATATCAGATAATTACTTTGTTTTGTATATCAAATGCCATAAGCTGCTTTGTAACCAGTTGATTAATAGTATGTATATTTTTTTTAGAGATTGTCTCCATGCATAGATTAGACCAGCCTAGAACTTTCTATGTACCCATAGTTGGCCTCAAACACCCCATGCTCCTGCTTCTTTCTCCACATTTCTGTGATTACAGATGTGAATTTGACTCTTTGCCATGATATTTTATTTATTTATTTATTGTTTTTTTGTACTTTATACATATTACTGGGTTTATAATTTATTTCATATATATGCTCTTAGAGTCCACTAATCTGAAGTCCAGGCAGATTCTGTGATTTCTATTATTGCTATTGATTTTCATTCATATTCAAACATTTTTTTCCTTTGGATGGCAACAATCTCTGATGGTGTGTTCTATTGGTTTCTGTAAAATTGTTGCTTGATTTAGGATGGCTGTGTCCCCTTCTGGGAAGTGTTTCTCCCTCTTCACTCTATCAGCAAGACCATCTTAACCCAGTTAAATACTTCTAATTTCTAAATTATCCTAGAATATGCATTTCTGGAGTAAATACTGTTGGCAGTGTCGGCCTTCCATGACTTCTGGAAGAAATCTTGTTTATTTCATTCCACTCCAATTTAGAACTCTCTTTCTGTCTCCTGAAGTTGTAGGGAGGATGCATGTTAGTGTCTGTTGGGTTTACCTTTGCTTCGAGATTAAAGTCGCTCTGACATTAGGTTTAAATTAATGCCCCAGGATCACCAAAGAATGATTATGGGCTTCTCTTTACATCTCTTTTCGATGTTTGGCCTGGAAACTGGAGTCCAAATGTCTGAGGCACTGTTCACTCTCCTTACTGTAAGAGCTGCTTTGGAAAGGGGAGATAATGAGATAATGAAAATAATGAGCATTAGTTCTCTCTTTTTTGGGGCTTTCCTCTTCTTCCTTCCATCCTTTCTTTCTTTCATTGCATATTTACTTACTCTATGTTACCTAATTTGTTGTAATTTTTTGAACATATCATTTCCCCAGGACTGTCAATCTCATATAGCTTTCCTAATGTTTCTGCACAAGTCACATGATTTAAATATGTCTTGGATTTTAACCAAAGCATCTATTAGAGATCCTAGTAGATTTCTGTTGGGGAGCTATAAGCCAATATCTTTCAAGGATTTCTCATGCTCTTTGTGTTGGTATATTTGCCTGTTGATTGACACCAGCCACTGTCACACACACTGCTCAGGCATCTGCCTTTGTATTTGCTGACTGCTTTGCATGGGCCTCTCCCGCCTAGACCAGCTGCTCAGAATTTATAAACCAGGGCTTTACAGTGAGAAGTGAGCAGCATCAGACAGGCATGGGGAAGAAGATGGAGTTGCAGACCCAGGTCCTTATGTCCCTGCTGCTCTGGGTGTCTGGTGAGAAATTTTAAAGTATTATAATCATTTTAGAGTTACTTCTTTGTATATAAAAATTTACAATGTGTGCCAGGGTGTAATATTTTTTATGCAATAATACTCTGACAATATGGCATTACAAGGACATTAAATGAGAAATTTTACCTGTATTGAATTCTGTAGTTTTTTTTTTTATTACACATGATCATTGCTCTTCCATATTGCAGGTGCCTGTACAGATATCGTGATGACCCAGTCTCCATCCTCCCTGGCTGTGTCAGTAGGAGAGAAGGTCACCATTAGCTGCAAGTCCAGTCAGAGTCTTTTAGACAGTGATGACCAGAAGAACTACTTGAACTGGTACCAGCAGAAACCAGGGCAGGCTCCTAAACTGCTCATCTACTGGGCATCCACTCAGGAAACTGGGGTCCCTGATCGCTTCACAGGCAGTGGGTCTGGGACAGATTTCACTCTCACCATTAGCAGTGTCCAGGCTGAAGACCTGGCAGATTATTACTGTATGCAGGCTCATACTGCTCCTCCCACAGTGCTTCATCCTCCAACAAAAACCTCCTCTGAAAGTCTCACCAGCTGCCTGCACCACACACAGCCCTGGACCTGCACACTTCCCCCTTCTGCCTGAGAGCCTGAACATCAATGAACACTCACAAAAATGTTTGCAGAGCCCAGCAAAATTAATGCGTTCAATGTGTACTGTGTCTTTGGGTATGAAAAACCGTTATATGATAATACAAAGGAGAACTCAGCATTATTTTGCTGTTGCTTCTTTTCTTGAATGTGAGGGATTTTTCTCTTTATAGTGGTGGAGTTTGGTGTCTAGCATAAGAGTCTGTGGGCTGAAGTGACAATGATGGCAAACTGTATGTTGGTTTGGAGGCTGTGGAAAGATTGTTTCCTGCTTTTTTCTAGATTCTGGAATTCTTTCTTAGATTCTAGAATTCTAGATTCTGGAGTGCTTTCTTACTTCCTTACTGCTCTCCATTGCTTCTGTTTTTTTCTTTTCCTTTCCATAAATTCCTTCAACATTTTTTCACATTTTCTTTAATGTGCATATGAGTGTGCATGTTTCTAGGTGCACATGTGACATGGCATGTTTCTAGAGGTCAGAGGACACTTGGACTTGAATATCTCTTTGTTGTTTGGGTCTGCGATCAAGCTCAGGTTTGTCATCAGGCTTGGTGTCAAGTGTCTTTGCTATCTGATCCATCTTGCTGACACTTAAAATATTTTATTGATGTTAAGTCACTGTACACAATTTTCTTAAAAGCAATATTTTTCCAGTATATCATATATTTTGACCATATGCACTAACCTTTCCCATTCCTCCTTCCCTTTCCTGCTATCTTTTCTTCCCTAGTTCTTTTACTTTTATCTGTCTATGTCATACATACAGACACACCCCCATACTCAGCACATACATATACATACACACATATACACATATACATACATCGATACACACATATCCATATACATACACATATATACACAATACATACATGGACTTCACATACTCAGAATCCACATAATTAGGATCCACAAAAGAGGGAAATGTGATATTTGTTGCCCTTTTTTCTCAGGTCACATCTCCCTCTGAAGTCTCCATATCTGATTTGCAACTGTAGAATCTGAGAAACCTCTGTCCACTCTAATGTTGGATATAACTTTATGTCAGCAGATGCTGCCTTCAAGTCTTTACATTTCATATCAATTAATAAAGCTTAATGTTTTCAGAAAGGAATATTTTGTGCTTCTGTGTAAAATCAATGTGCTAACTAATCATGCCATATTCTGGTTAAGAAACTTATTGAGCATCTATTTCAGAGATATGGCAAGGAACAAGTGTGTTATAGACTACATAAAATTGCTGGTGATCTCCAACAAATGCTTTAAAGCTGAGTGATTCTGAGTAGTGAAACTTGAGTGTTGCCGCGGATTGGATCTCAGTTGAAACACCAGACCGAGGGAGAACAGGTCGAAGGTACTCAGGATAAGTGGGATTCGGCGAATGACAGACAGACACAGACACGAGAGTATGCTGTGAAGCTGCTGCAATTTTACTCAGATCAAGCAGTGTTTTTTATACATTCATTTGAGGAAACATGGCAATCGGCCAGTGGGGCGATAGACATAGAATCATCAACGTGGTCACACAATTTTCTCAGAATGATTAACAGATCTCATGAGTACCGGTGTTATTTCCTCTTTTGTGGTCCCTCATCCAGACAGAGAACATTACGGCCCTAGCTGAAGTTTTCCTTCTATATAATTATTAAACCTTTGTTTTGTATCAAAATTAAACCCTTCCCACCATCGTTCTAACCATGGTTTCATTTGTGTGAAAATATTTAACCTTTGCCTGCAGGTGAGAAGGCACCAGGGGGGTTGGGACTTAGCTATTCTTTCCATGAACTGTAACTTATGTCATTCTGTTTTCATACTATTATGATTCACCCATCGGTTCCCATGTTTATCATAAGCTCCCGTAAAGGGCAATGGCTCCAAATAATTATTATATCTAAGATTAAAGTTAGGGGGTTGCCACCTCCGACCCTTGATGAGAAACTCTATTTGTCCCTGGATAATTCTTGTCGGAATGGCTAATTCCTGTAACTGCTTCCTTGCAGATGCTGTTGGCTGCGCGTGTGGATTGCTTATGAGTTCCTGGACTTTTACTTTCATTCTCTCTTCACTAGAATCTTCATCCCTCTGAGTCATAAGTTCTTTTTGCTCTAAATCATTCATAAATTACCCCAAACTTCTAGGACCCTCTTTAACTGTTTGCCTAAAAGCTTGAATTATAGGTGGGGGTATTGAGGCCACTTTTGAGGAATCATTATTCTCTTTATGGGGCACATCAGGAACATTGAGAGCTAACTTCCTGAAATCAATACACAAGGAAACAGCAATAGTCACAGCCACAAAGAGAAAAAGGTCGCCACGAGCCCCCCTTTCCCACGTAACCGCCTCATCCAAGGCATTTGTCATGCAGGCGACACCGTTGTGGGCGTGGCAGAGTGTAGGTTGATAAATTTAGAAAAGCATCAGATAAACCAAAAGGGTTGTGTAAACCAAGAGCTACAAATCATAACACAGAAACACAGGATCCTTAAATATCAAATAAAAAATGATGCCCCAAAGGATCATAATTCCCATAAGGATTCAACTCGAAGATCTGAAATAGGTACAATGTTGGGTAGAGATTTCAAAAACATACTCATAAAAATGTGAATCACCATAAGAGATACAAACAAAAAATTTATTCAGTCAGAAATATAAGACGAATTTTAAAAGGTCCTATTAATAAAAAAAAAAAACAAAAACAAAAAACAAAAAACCGTGAAGCCAGATAGGTATTGGGGTGAATTCTGAAAGATCAGAGAAGCAGAACAAGCCACAGCCAACCTCACTTCGACAACTCATCTGATTCCGTTTCCATGAATCCTCAGACTGAAAGCTTCTGAGTTCTCACCCAAATGAATCTCAGCTGAACTGCTGCTAAAAATCCTAGAAGCTTAAAAGCCTCTAGTTCCTGGTCCTCATGCCTTATAAACCTTTTTGCTTCCTGCCATCACTTTTTGGGATCAAAGATGTGTGTCTTTCCCAAGCAAGATATGAGATCTCAAGTGCTGGAATTAAAGGTATGTGTCACCATGCCTGGCTGTTTCTGATGTAGCCTTGAACTCACAGAGATCCAAACGGATCTCTGCCTCCTGAGTGATAGGATTAAAGGTGTGTGCCACCATTTTCTGGCTCCTAGGTCCAATCTAGTGGCTGTTCTGTTTTCTGACCCCAGATAAGTTTTATTAGGGTACACAATATATGGGGGACACAATGTATCACCACACAGGAAGTTAGTTATATATGGACAAATATAAGCAAGATGAATAAAACAAGCAGCTACAGGGCAGAAAAAGTGAGTAAGGAGAAAACCAAAATTGGAATGCTGGGAATTAAACTGAGTGTGTTAGATTCAACACACTGAACAAAGAAATTATCAACAGTCTCAATAAAACAGAAGAAGGACATCCTGGATCAAGGTTGTAGTAGAAGAAACAACATTGAAGTATCATATGTTAAAAAAATTATCATGACTATAATATCAAACAATTCTAGCATGTGATGAAGAGACCCATACCAAGAATCATAAGATAGAGAAGATCTGAGATAAAAACCAAAGACATAGGGAACATATTGAGTGAAATAAGAACAGAAAATTTCATATAAAAAGAAAAAAGTGACAAACACAGAAAGGCATTTAGTTGTCTAAATGGATGACACCAGAGAAGAACCTCCCCATGTCACAGATTGTGTCTATAATGTAAAAAGTACAAAGGGAAAAATCCAAGTCCAATGATATAATGGACAAATGCCAACTCAACTCCAATGACAAATCTGTCAGAATGATATCTGAACTCTCATTTGAAACCTTAAAGTCCAGAAAACTTGGCACAATATATTTCAGGTCTTGATAGTAAGTAAATTGTTAAATTGGTTACCTATTTCCAGCAAAATTGTATATTTTTGTTTAAAAAATTGTTTTTTGTTTTACATAGCAACCATAGTTCCTCCTCCTTCCCCTCTTCTAACTCCCCCCTCTCTCCCACTCCTCATGCACTAATCAGAGAGAGTAAGGCCTCCCATGGAGAGTCAACAAAGTCTGGCATATGAAGTTGAGGCAGGACCAAGTCCCTCCCACCTGCATCAAAGCTGAGCAAGATATCCCTCCATAGGGAGTGGGCTCCAAAAAGCCAGTTCATGTACTAGGGATAAATTCTGGTCCCACTGCCAGGGGCCCCACAACGGATCAGGTCACACAACTGTCACCCACATTCAGAGGACATAGTTAGGTCCTGTGCAGGTTCCCTAGCTGTCAGTCCACAGTCCCTGAGCTCCCACTAGCTTGGGTCAGCTGACTCTGTGGGTTTTCCCATCATATTCTTGACCCCCTCTTGCTCATAAAAATCTCTCTTTCCTCTCTTTGACTGGACTCCAGAAGCTCAGTCCAGTGATTAACTGTGGATCTCTGCGTCTGCTTCCTTCAGTTACTGGATGAAGGTTTTATGATGACAATGAGGGTAGTCACCAATCTGATTACAGGGGGAGGCCAGTTAAGATACCCTCTCCACTATTGCTTGGAGGCTTAGCTGAGTTCATCCTGGGAATTTCTCTAGCACCAGGCTTCCCCATAACCCCATAATGACTCCCTCTATCAAGATATCTCTTTCCTTGTTCTCCCTCTCTGTCCCTGCCCCAACTCAACAATCCTGTTCCCTCATGTTCCAGTCTGCCATCCCCCTCACCCCTCCCTGTGCATGCTCCCAGTTTACCCAGAAGATCTTATCTCATTCCATCTCCCAGGGAGATTTATGCATGTCCCTCTTAGAGTCCTCCTTGTTACTGAGCTCCTTTGGGGTTGTGGATTGTAGTCTGGTTACCCTTTGCTTTATATCTAATATCCACTTATGAGTGAGTACATACCGTGTTTGTCTTTCTTGTGTGGGTTACCTCACTCAGGTTTTTTTCTAGTTCCATCCATTTGCCTTCTCCTGCAAGGCCAGTGAAAGTGTCACTTTATTTTGTAGTAATTATATGCAGTGGTGCAAAAAGAAACCAAAACAGCACCCCAAATTCCTCATCTATGGAGAATCCAACCTAGCATCTGCAGTCCCTGCCAGGTTCATCAGCAGTGGCTCTGGGACAGAC